TCTCGTCATTATCTTTAAGGAAAAAATACTAGCAAATGATGCCAAATTTCCACGAGGCGCAATAGCTGCTTTAGTCGACGGTAAGTGTGATAATTCTGGATTCACGTACCGATACACATCATTTTCAATGGCCAGCAGGTCATAAGCCATCGCTTCGAAAGTCAATTCGTGAAGAATTGGAGATATTGGATCGAAGCCACGGTCGAGAATTATTAACTGACTTCGGTCCTTGTGAGGTCCCTACAAAGAATTCATACTTAGAGCACAGGATTGACGAATGACAAAAACGTTACTATGCACACTTTTCAGATGCATGAATGATCAAAAATTGATTAAGATCTGGTTGGGAAAAAAATTACCTTAAGATGAGGAAAAAGGTAACTCGTAATGCTAATGTAGCTATAAAATTTTCATTCCGCGCCATGAAACAGATAGACTATCGAACATTATAGATGCCACTACCCTTTTCATTCCAATAATACCAAACATAAACTAAGCAATACATCCCAACTTGTTCGGCATGCTTTCAAAAATGGATTTCAGGATTTTAAAAATAAATCCCTAATCGCTTTAACAAATGAGCACTTAGGGAAAGATTCGGAGTTACCTACCTCACCCATCTGAGGGTCGTCAGCTTTGTACGCATCCAATTTCTGCTGCACGAGCTGCGCAAATTCACAATTCTTCTCATGCTGACTAAAATGAAAAAGCAAGAGCTGAAGATGTAATGCTAGTAAAAAATAAGGCAGAACCGAAGAAATAAACGAACAGTAAAAAGCAAGACGACAAAAAATATGATTTTAACCTTCGGTATCGAATCGGTGGGTACTCTCCAGTGGTTGCACACAATGTAGCGATTTGTTCAGCGATATGTTCCAAATGATGCATTTGACCGCCGTGTTGTTGACTATTGAAGTAGAACTGGAAACTCTCCGGAGAGTCCAAGGAAAAAACTCTGCTCTCGACGGGTAAGAAGGCAATATTGATTTCTTTTAAAGTTTGCATAAAATTCGCACAGTTCGATTGACAAAGTCGATTGAAAAGTTCATCTGGACAGGCTGTGGATAGAACAGGAATACAGCAATGTTACGTGGCTATGATTTGCGCAAAAATCGAAACACCCAATTTAAGGTGGCAGGATTCGATTAATTTCAAAGTACCTTCAGTGAGGAAAACGTGCGCAGCCTTGTACTGATACCGCGGACCCTGGAAGTCATTCATAAGAGCTTGAATAGACTAGAAAAATGCACATTAAAAACGTCCAAACTTTTTCTGATGGAGTTATCAAATATATAGCATCCAAAGGAAGTACTTCCCGCCGTTTAGCAATATCTTCCACGACTAAAAAAATATTCAAATGATATCGAGACGTACGAGTTATCCCCTCATTCATAATTTCGTGCATTTTGCAACAGGAAGACACCATTCTGGTTGAAAGTTTGTCTAACACGAGTACTTTCCACTCTTTCGGCTTTTTTAATGGAATTATCACATCATTCATGATTTCTACGAAAATAAAAGGATTTTGTAAAGCTCTTACTTCGCGAAACAGCCTGCTTGAGAGACATCTTGAGAACACTTAGTTGGACCAGCAAATCTTCGGGTAAACTAATTATGACGCTTTGAATTTACAATGAATAAAACAAAGCACATTTTCTAATTTTCACAAATAAGTTTTTGTCTCCAGTGAAGGGTTCTCAGCTGGGTATATTGACTACATTTAAATGCGATTTGTCTTTTGTTTGATAAATTTCTGCCTTACACTCTCGGGTTTTTGAAGTAGTTCAGAATTCTAAACAGCCCTTGCCTACGGAGCTGTTTATTAACTTTCATATATGGGTTAATTTATTATTTAAATCTGCCAAAACTACCTACTCATTTTTTATTACTGCCAGAAGGTTTTTTTGTCAACACCTGCTGCTTTCATGTTGCTTTTTTCTTTGGAGAAATAGTTGGCTTTTTTAGTTTCTGTGTTTCTCGAAATGCCATCTGAACCTCTTATCCCATATTTGGAGTAAAAATAAGGTTTGAACAGGACCTATCTATGCATAAATATATTGATAACGACATCTTTTCAAAACTTCCCATCGATTTATGTCCCGTGATATGTACATTATTCGGGATGTGGTGACTTGCTGCTACAAAACGTATCTGACAAAGGGCTCGCTCCGCCACGTGAAGGCGGTAGAAGATCGATCTTAGCTTCGCATCCGATGGAAAACGCTGCCCAGTTGGCTTGCTTGAAGCCGATAAAGTGCCTGTTAGGGGCCTTCATACGGCCGGCTGTGGTGGCCATACCGGAGCACTATACGATAGTTCGGCCGTCGATTTCGAC